CATTTTTGGAGCACTCTAGCTTCCATTTGGATTGCTCCAAATTACCACACCAACTTGCCGAAGTCACTGCCTTCATTTCGAGCAATCTAGCTCCATTTTAGAGTGCTCCAATTGTGAACCAATCTTGCATGCACCACTGCCCAATTTTATAGCGCTCTAAATTCCATTTGGATTGCTCCAAATTTCAGTCCTCACAGCCGAGCTCACCCTCTAGCCTACTGAGCCATTTTCGAGCACTCTAAATTCTAGTTTGAGTGCTCGAATTTCATGCACCAACCCACCCAACTCACTGCTCTCAGTTCGAGCACTCGCCAATCCTATTTGGAGTGCTCGAACTCCACCTTCTTTCTCTCTCCATTGCCAACGCCCCGAGCACTCGTTGCCTCACCCTCATCGCCTTCTCTTCCTCTCGGCCATCTCATCCAGGCCAACCCAAGCATGCAACCACCCCTGCATGCCAACTAACTACCACCCTACCCTCTCGGCATCCACTCCTATCTCCCTCCTTCAACCCACTCCACCATGCAACCTCAATCAAACACCAACACCACCATCTTCTCTCTTCTCCAACCCACAACCTCCTCTAACAGCATGCATGCCATCCCTCTCAACCATCCCTCTCCCTACCAAGCCACACAACCATGCCCCCTCATCTCGGAAACTCCCATGCATGAACCCAAAGCCAACGAACCTCCACCTTTTCTCTCTCTCATTCAACACACCCAATCACCAATCTCTCTATCTCATCCACCATGCAATCCTTATGCAACCCAAGCAACCCACACCTCATTTCCCTCAGCTTCCAACACCAACCCCACCCTCTCGGCATCTTGCATGCACCATCAACTTCCACCACCTCAACCCACAAACACACCTCTCGGCCACCCTCTCATCACCCACAAACCATCACCTACCCTCGGCACACCACCTTGCACACACTAAACTAACCCACCACCAAGCCACCACCCACAACTCCATATACCAACCCACCTCACAAACCATGCTCGAACTCCACCACCCTTCACACCTCTCACTCTCGGCATCCACCCATAAACCATGCCAACCCAATCCTCACAGCAAACAATCCCCTCTCGGCATCTTTGCATACCACCACATCAACCAAACCAACTCCTAAGCCCCATGCATGCATGCCCCTCACCATACACCAACCATATCAACCTTTGGCCCTTTTCCTTTTTGTCTTGCACACCACGTGTTTGACGAATTGCCTAAGCCAACTTCATCTCTCTAAATGTACGGCTTTTGGCATTATTTTGTTTTCCATTTTAAACTTATGACTCATGTGTGCCAATTTGTATTTTGTATGGATTTTTACCTTGCAATAACATTCATCTTAGTGTTTTCATTTCTGTTTTGATTTTTCTTAAGAGACCTATGCTTTTACCTGTGTATATTCGTTGTATTTTGATAGGTCTTCATGTCCAAGTTTGGGGGACGCAGTTGCGAACTCACATAGCTGAACATCTTCGCCTTTGTCACTCCACTTGGTATTATTGTTCCTTTCCCCCCTTTTTTGCTCTTATTTTGATTTACTTGTCTTCTCACATTGAGGACAATGTGACATTCAAGTTTGGGGGTGCATTTATGCATTTTTGGTTTCATAATTTTTGCTAAGCAATGATAGTATAACTTGACACTTGTCGGAGATGAAGCATATGTTTAATACCTTGTGTATAGAAGCAATTGACATTTTTGAAAATAAAGAAAAATTTGAGTTGAAATGATCATGTAGATTCAAATTAGTCCGTATAAATGTCTCAATTAGATTCTTGCTGGATTTACACTCTTATAAGCTTCACAATGCACAGATGCACATTGGAAACTTAACTGTGAGGCATGCAACTTGATCAACCTTGACCTTGGCCTAGTTAATCTGATTTGATGAACCTGATAGATGAATATCTTTGGCATGATTTAAGTTAAAAAAAAAAAAAAAAAAAAAAAAAAAAAAAAAAAAAAAAAAAAAAACTGAGAAAGAAAGAAAAAAATGACCAGTTGACGTTCGTAGCCTTTCCAACTCGAGCTATTAAGCCCTAGGAGTGTCTCTACACTTAGCACCCTAAAGCCGTCTGGTTTGGGAGTTGTTGGCCTAACGCTTGCTACAAGGGTTGGTTAGAAAGCTTAAAGGACTTAAACATTGCACGGTCATTCAAAAAAATTGTAATAAACATGGTTCGCTAGAGTTCGTAGCCTTTCCAACTTGAGCTATTAAGCCCTTTGGAGTGTCTCTACACTTAACACCCTAAAGCCATCTGGTTTGGGAGTTGTTGGCCTAACACTTGCTACATAGGTTGGTTAGAAAGCTTAAGGGACTTTAGCATTGCACAATCATTCTATGTTTCGCTTATGAGTTGCAATAAATTGTCAACAAGCAACAAAAGTTGTCTTGTAAATAAAATCATGCCTTAGGGACCTCATTTAAAGGGGAATTCAATGATTTGAAAACTTGTGCCTTGGAATTGGAAAAGAAAGTAAAAGCCGCATGTTGAGAATCCAATTCACTTTCACTGAAGTAGAGTTGATTTCCATTTAAGAGAAGACAATTGAGTTATTTATATGGACGATGATGTTGATGCATGTATGTGGAAATGTGTTTAGTATCAATGCTTCATATATGCAAGGTAGTCTTCCCAATGACCCCATCTCCAGTTCTTTGTTGTTCCAAGTTGTATTTGAGCTATGTATCTATTTTATTTTACCATAGTAGATATTTTTGTAGTAGCAGTCCCATGTTTGTCATTCCATTGAGTTTTGCATTTTGGTTTTGCTAAGGGACTAGCAAAATGTAAGTTTGGGGGTGTGATAAGCGCCGAATATTGTATATTCAAGCGCCCTAAATTGCATTAGTTAAGTTCTTTATTTGTGTATTTTATATAGATTATCTCCAATTGTATGTTTTTGCACATTTTCAGGTCCACTGGCCAAAAAGAAGCAAGAAGGATGCTTTGTGGAGTTTTGAACATCAAAGGTGCCAATTCTGAAATTCTGGCAACAGTGAAGCCTGAACTTTGTTCGCCATTTTGGCCTACCAAACTCAAGAACTGGACTTCCATCATAACATGAAAGATTTAGAGCTCTGAATCAGCTTTCCAAATCTTTAAGCGGTTTATCATTCGGAGTTCGGAGCAGAGAGTATGATCTTCTTATTAGAGCTGCTCAGAACTGCCTGGCAGCAATGAAAGTCTGCCTTGTTCTTCAATTTCGACCAACCATCCTTGAGAATTAGATCTCCACCAAAACAAGAAGTTTTTAGAGATCTGAATTAGCTTTCCAAATCTTCAAACGGTTCATCATTTGGAGTTCAGAGCGCAAAGTTATGGCCGTTTTACCAAAGTAGGTCCGGGCGGAGCAAACCAAGCATAAGGCATTCTGGCCAATTTTCGAGTGCTCGAGGCCTTATTTCGAGTGCTCGAAATTAGGGCAGATTGCTTCACGAGATCAGCAGTGGAGTCAGGACTTTGCTCGCCATTTTGACCCAGAAAGCTCGAGAACTGGACTTCCATCATAACATGAAAGATTTAGAGCTCTGAATTAGCTTTCTAAATCTTCAAACGGTTCATCATTCGGAGCTCAGAGCAGAGAGTTATGGCCTTGTTACCAGAGGTGCGCAGAACTGCCTGGCAGCACTGAAGTACTGCCTTTCTCCCCATTTTCGACCAACCAAACTTAAGATTTGGGTCTTCATCAAAACATGAAGTTTTTAAAGCTCTAAATCAGCTCTCCAAATCTTTAAACGGTTCATCATTCGGAGTTCGGAGTGCAAAGTTATGGCCATTTCATCAAAGTAGGTCTGGGTGGAGCAAGTGAAGCATGGAGCTTTTTATACTAAATTCGAGTGCTCGAGGCCCTATTTCGAGCACCCGAAATTTGGGCAGTTTGCTCCACGAGACAGCCCACTTATGCTCTGAAAATTCCAACTTTGGATTTCCCTATTAATGAGGTGGTTGGGGATGTTTTCTTGGAGGAGAGAGAGGGTTTTGTTGGAGGACAAAAGGCAACCAAAGGCCACACATTTCATATCCTTGAATTTTGCAAGATAGAGGAGAGAGAAGAGAGCAAAGAGGAGGAGTTCTTGAAGCTTCAAGGAGGAAGCTCGAAAATAGAGGGGAAAACCTTGCTTCTTCCTTCATTTAGGGCCACCATGGGTAACTAAACCTCCTCTAGGGAGGTGATGAAGCTCCATTTTGTAAGCTTTGCTTTGTTTTGATTTATATTTGGGGGTTAATATATGTATGTAATCCTTCCATGAACTAGAGCTCTTCATTTGATGTAATGAATTTCAATACCTATACATAATCATCTTGAGTTAAATATCTTGTCTTAGATGGTTTTTCTCCTATGATTATATTGCTACATTTTCATAGTGACAATGGAATGGAGTTTATGGAAGTGTTGTTAATGGCATGATATTTAGGAGATTTGATAATCTATTGCTTAGGATCTTCCTTTGATAGATTATTCTTGGATTCTATGTCATGTGCTTTTACTATGTGATTAAGGGCTTGATAACTCTATGCTTAGTGAGTATGTCTAAGGTTACAACCTAGTTTAGGTAACCAAAACATGCAATGCTTTGATAGGTTATTCTTACCTATTGATTTCATAAATTTCTTGAAGGGAATGTAATAATTTGTGTTGTTGCATCCTATGGTTATACATATATGTTATTCCCCTAAGTAAATCATATCCTAGCATGCTTATTGATGGTTGTGGAGTCTCTTCCTTAGTCTCTTCTCTATTGTTCTATTTCATCCTAAATTCCTTGCAAATTAGTGTTTTATGCACTTTGAATTCCTAATTTAAGTGACAACAAACAAAACCTTTATGAACACCCCCTCATCATTCTAGAAAGATTCTAGACACTAAGGTTGCCGTAAGACTAGCGCAGTCCCAGTGGTTCGACTTACCCGACCAATAGCCATATTTTACAATGATTCGTGCTATTGCGAAGGTTAATGTTTAATTGACCAACCGATCAGGGCCTTGGAGACACAATTAAAGAAAAGAATGATGCATCATTGCAAGATAAAGCAAAGGCCATGATTTTTCTCCGGCGCCATATTAGTGAGGAACTGAAAAATGAATACCTCACTGAAAGAGATCCACTTTGTTTGTGGAACAATTTGAAAGACAGTTATGATCATCAAAAAACAGTTATCCTCCCAAAGGCCAGGGCTGATTGGCTGCAACTGAGGTTGCAAGATTTCAAAACTGTGGCTGAATATAACTCTGCCTTTTTCAAAATCTGCTCTACATTGAAATTATGTGGTGATACTGTTACTGATGAACTTCTGCTAGAAAAAACATTCACCACATTTCATGCCTCGAATGTACTTTGCAACAATAATATCGAGAGCGTAGATTTAAAAAAATATTCAGAGCTGATATCATGTTTGCTTGTGGCAGAACAAAAAATGAACTTTTATTGAGAAACCACCAGTCCCGTCCAACTGGATCGACACCGATCCCAGAAACATATGTTGCCTCATCCCGTGGTTGTGGACGCGGACGTGGACGTGGTCGTGGTGGTAGAAATGAATATGGTCGTGGCAAAAATAACTACCACAATAATGAATATGGTCGTGGTAGAAATCATTCTTATTATCGTGAAGGATATCAATCCTCACATTTTCGCAATCAGCGATCCACACCATATCCTCAAAGGAAAGATCATAATGAAATGAGACAAGTAAAAGGGAAGGATGTGGCTCAACCTTCTAAGGCTCATGATAATACTTGCTATCGGTGTGGCATGACAGGGCATTGACAAAATATTTGTCGTACACCGAAGCATCTGGCTGATTTGTATCAAGCCTCAATAAAAGAAAAGGGAAAACAAAAGGAAATGAATTTCCTTGATCTTGATGAGCCAATTGACACCACAAATCTGGAAATGAATTTCATTAATCATGATGAGCCAGTTAACATCACCAATCTGGATGTATCAGATTTTTTTGATGATCGTGATGGAAGGATAGACTTCCTGATTGGTGATGGAAATGTCCACACCAGTTAATCTTATGTTTCTTTTTATGTACTGTCTACTATGCTTTTTGTTGTCCTTGTATTAAAGTTTTTATTTTCTAGTTTGTATTAAAGGTTTTTGTTATAAAAGTTTTTTTTCTGATAAAGAAATTTGCATGAATAGGAATGGATCTGACTAGTTCCAAAATAAATGGTGAAGACATATGTCTTGCAGATAGTGGAACAATGCATACAATCCTTCGAGATCAAAAATATTTTTCCCACTTAACTCTGACAGACGCTAATGTCAGTACCATATCAGGTCCCACCGACTTGATTGAAGGCTCCGGACGAGCCAACATCATTTTACCACATGGAACTAGATTACAAATCAATGATGCCTTAGATTCTACAAGATCTCGGAGAAATCTGCTGAGTTTTAAAGACTTGCGTCGTAATGGGTATCATATTGAGACTGCAAATGAAAGAAATGTCGAATATCTCTACATTACTTCCATTACCTCAGGCAAGAAACTGATATTAGAAAAACTCCCTGTTTTCTCTTCTGGGTTATATTATACAACCATTAGAACAATTGAGTCAAATGTTGTGATCCATAAAAAATCTGGTGACCCAAAACTTTTTTTACTTTGGCATGATCGACTTGGTCACCCAGGGAGTACAATGATGCGTCGAATTATTGAAAATTCACATGGTCACCCACTAAAGGATCAAAAAATCATCTTACCAAATAATCATCTATGCACTGCCTGCTCACAATGTAAGTTGATTATCAGACCATCCCCTTCAAAAGTCATTGTTGAGTTTTCTCCATTTTTACAACGAATTCATGGGGATATATGTGGGCCAATCCATCCACCATCTGGACCATTTCGTTATTTTATGGTCTTAATTGATGCATCAACACGATGGTCACATGTTTGTCTACTTTCTATTCATAATATTGCATTTGCTAAACTTCTTGCTCAAATCATCAAATTACGGGCACACTTTCCTGATTACCCAATTAAGACAATCTGTCTTGATAATGCCGCTGAATTTTCTTCTCAAGCTTTTGATGATTATTGCATGTCAGTTGGAATTTATGTTGAACATCCTGTTGCACACACTCATACTCAAAATGGTATGGCTGAATCTTTTATTAAAAGACTTCAGCTAATTGGTCGTTCTTTGCTTATGCGAACAAAATTACCTGTTTCTGCCTGGGGTCATGCCATATTGCATGCTGCATCATTAGTTCGTATACGACCAACTGCTTATCATAAGTACTCACCATTACAACTTGTTTTTGGTCAACAACCAAATATCTCCCACATACGAGTTTTTGGTTGTGCTGTATATGTTCCAATTGCACCACCTCAACGCACTAAAATAGGTCCTCAACGTAGACTTGGAATTTATGTTGGTTTTGATTCTCCATCTATTATTAGATATCTTGAACCCCTGATAGGTGATGTCTTTAAAGCACGATTTGCTGACTGTCATTTTGATGAGACTGTTTTCCCACCATTAGGGGGAGAAAAGGTACAGCAGCAACGTGATCTTACTTGGAATGCCCTGAAATTGTCTCATTTTGATCCTCGTACAAACCAATGTGAACGAGAAGTTCAGAGGATCATTCACTTGCAAAATGTTGCAAATCAATTACCTGATGCATTTACTGATACAAAGAAAGTGATAAAATCACATATACCAGCTGCAAATGTACCAGCACGAATTGCTGTCCCTGAGGGACCTTCTGTCAGTAATGCAGCAAATGCATCTAAAACACGCCTGAAGCGTGGTAGACCAGTTGGTGCAAAAGATATTGTTTCTCGTAAGAGGAAATCACAAAGAAAAGTTGACACTCCTGAAGAGGCCACAAAAAGAGCAACAGATATTATTGATCAATCTGAGATAATAGCCTTTGATAAGGCAGATGCTCTTGATGAGTCTCAGGTACCTAAAAATGATGAAATAATAAATATTGATGAGGCAAAATCAACAGATGATGATATGGCCCTTGATGAGGCACATGCTCTTGATGAGGCAAAGGTACCTGAAAATAATGAGATCTCATTAAATTATGAAACGAGATGGAATAGAAATGAAATTGTTGTCGACAACATATTCTCATATCTTGTTGCTCTTGATATTGAAAATAAGGATCCGGAATCTCAAAACGTCGAAGAAATGATTGGCCAAAATGGAAAGAAGTGATACAAGCAAAGCTAAATTCATTAGCTAAACGTGAAGTATTTGGACCAGTAGTCCAGACACCTGAGGGTGTTAATCCTGTTGGGTACAAATGGGTGTTTGTACGAAAGCGTAATGAGAAAAATGAAATCGTGAGATATAAAGCCCGACTTGTAGCTCAAGGTTTCTCACAAAGACCTGGTATTGATTATGAGGAAACATATTCCCCTGTGATTGATGCAACTACTTTTAGATTCATAATACATTTAGCAGTCACAGAAAGATTGCATATGCATTTAATGGACGTGGTTACAGCATATTTATATGGATCATTAGATAGTGATATTTATATGAAAATCCCAGAAGGATTTACAATGCCTGAAACAAAACTACGTAATATGCACCCAATAAAATTACAACGATCCTTATATGGATTGAAGCAATTTGGACGAATGTGGTATAATCGCCTTAGCGATTACTTACTCAAAGAAGGGTATGTGAACAGTCATGGTTGTCCATGCATATTTATTAACAAATCAGAATCTGGTTTTGTTATTCTTGCAGTATATGTTGATGATCTGAACCTTGTGGGAACATTGGACGAGATCGAAAAGACAGCCACATATTTAAAGAAAGAATTTGAAATGAAAGATCTCGGAAAGACAAAATTCTGCCTTGGGCTGCAGGTTGAACATCTTTCGAATGGTATTCTCATCCATCAATCAACATATACAGAAAAGATTCTGAAACGTTTTCATATGGATAAAGCATATCCATTGAGCTCCCCAATGATTGTCCGATCACTGGACATCAAGAAAGATCATTTTCGTCCTCATGAAGATGATGAAGAACTCTTTGGCCCTTAAGTGCCCTATCTCAGTGCGATTGGTGCTCTTTTATATCTTGCAAATTGCACAAGACCTGATATAATTTTTCCAGTCAATTTATTAACACGGTACAGTTCTGCACCAACTCGCAGACACTGGAATGGAATCAAACACATATTGTGATATCTTCGTGGCACAACTGATATGGGCTTGTTTTATTCGAAGGCACCAAAGTCTCCATTAGTTGGATATGCAGATGCCGGATATCTTTCTGACCCACATAAAGCTTATTCACAAACAGGGTATGTGTTTACCTGTGGTGGCACAGCTATATCATGGCGATCGATGAAACAGACAATGATTGCCACTTTTTCAAATCATTCTGAGATACTCGCAATTCATGAGGCAAGCAGAGAATGCATTTGGTTGAGATCAATGATCCAGCATATTCGAACAACATGTGGTCTCTCATCAATAAAAGAAAGTCTAACAATATTATATGAAGATAATGCGGCATGCATTGCACAGATGAAAGAAGGGTATATTAAAAGTGACAGGACCAAGCACATCTCCCCAAAATTCTTTTATGCACATGAACTGCAGAAAAAGGGTGATATTGGTATTCAGAAGATACGTTCATGTGAAAATCTAGCAGATTTATTCACTAAAACGCTTCCAACTACAATATTCAAGAAGCTGGTGCACAACATTGGAATGCGTCAACTAAAGGATCTTCAGGGTTGATCTAATGAGGGGGAACAATTCATCAAAGAGGTATTGGCATGCTGTACTCTTTTTCCTTCGCCCAGGTTTTGTCCCACTGGGTTTTCCTGGCAAGGTTTTAATGAGGCAGTTTTAAATCTATGCAATACCATGTTCAAATACATAAGAATACTGTACTCTTTTTCCTTCGCTAGGGTTTTGTCCCACTGGGTTTTCCTTAGCAAGGTTTTAACGAGGCATATTCTTAGTGTAATATTGTGGACCCCAAGGGGGAGTGTTATGTATATATGTTTTTGTGTGGGATCCACACGAAATGATGTCAACCATGAAATCAGTTTTGCTTGGGGAGCAAGATCACACTTATAGCTTATATAGGAAGCTTCATTTTTTAAGCCTATAAATACTATGTATCTGGGGACGACCAAAAATGGGTACTGAGAATCATTAAGCTTATATATTTTACTCTTGAGCTCTATTTCTCTCACTATATAGATATACATATATGTGTGTGTGTGCGCACTATTATACTGCCTATAACATATAATTTATTACATTATTATTTTTTTACTTTTTTTTTTTTTTTTTACCTTAATGACTATAATTATGGATCAAGATAAGATTGGGATTGCTGAATTAGTGTGGCTTTAGGCATCATTTATTGTACATGAAACAACGATTGTGTATGTATATCATGTGTGTGTATGTACATATATATATATATGTACATATATATATATATATATATATATATATATATATATAATGTTTTTTGGGTAAGGATATATACATGTTTTATAAACTAAAAAGTGAAAGCGGTGAAAGAGTTCAAAACAACCAACGAACCGATCTATTTTCAACCACGGGCTCATGGACTTTCTCTTTCACTTTCGCCTCCGCTTTGTTAAACAAGGAAGATTCTTGGGATACTGTAATAAAAGGAACATAGGAGTTTGTCCTTAGGGATTTAACCAAATAGGATCGTTCAATTCCTATAGATTTTCAGTTTATGGGGGGTAGTATGGGATCCGACCCACCACTCTTAACTAGAAATGCTACT